AGGCTCCCTGACCTCTCACTCCCGCAGCCACAGCGAGTCCGCCCAGCCCGCAGCCGCTCGCGGGTGCAGTGCTGAGCCAGCGCTCCAGCCTCGCGCTCCAGCCTCGCGCCCCGCAGGCTGCCAGGGCGTCCGCGGACACAGGGTCCTCGTTCTGGGGCCTCCAGGGCCGGGTCTTCGCTGGCGAACGACCAATCTCTCCCTCGGCGGAGACGTGAGCGCAAACTGGGCAGGGCGGGAAGGGTCCTTGGAGTGGACGACGTTCCCCCACTTCGGACCGACGCGAGGCGCGGGTGAGAGCACGCGATTTCTACTCGCTAGCTTTTACTTTTAGTAAAGATCATTGCCTATCTTCACGAGCCTTGTTCCAGGTGGGTCATTCTTTACCTTTCCAGTTACTGTTCTGGCAGCTTCAGTAAGAGTCAAAGACCCAGAAGCGTAGGTTATCAGAGTCCTCCTTGTTCAAGCCTCTGATGGTGCCCCAGCAGAGCTGCCACCTGTGTGCGCCTCCCAGGACAGAGTCCAAGTTGAGTTTCAGGGCATTTTGTGACAGGGACACATTTAAAATTCAATGTCGTGGCATAGACACGCTATTTTCAAAGAAGGGTCAGAAACTCAAGTACATGGAAGAAACAGACTTATGGTCAACCTTTTCAACTTTGTACTTTTTAGGCAAACGCTTCATGTGTGTAGCTTTCTGGAAAGCCTGGTCCTACCCCACACCCGCTCCCAGGACTAAGGAATGTGTGACATCAGTTCTGAGACTTTTCCCTGAAAAAATATTCCTGGAAATGGCGCGGTTGATAACTCAAAGCTTTACTGAGGTCACACAGACAATGCTGTCTCAAAAGCCCCAAATTCAAGATGCACTCGGAGCATGAACGGGTCTCTGACAATTTGAAGTTCTTGGCATTTTAGAAAAAAAAAAAACTATTTTTTTCTATTATCCAAAGAAGTATTTCTATGACAACATCTCTGAAGATTCACTTGTTGGAGAAAACCTTTCTAGTTGCAGTTCCTAAACCTATCGAATATTGTGAATTGCCTGATTTCGGGGAGAGGTTCCGGGTCTGCAGTGTGATGTCTGTGCTGAGTCACATGCGACACCTGCCTCTGCCACTGTATTTCTCCACTTTTTCAGAAGTGCTGTCATAAGAGGGGTCCATCCCTGCTTGTTCAGCCCGGCAGAGTCCCCACTGGCTGTGACTGCTAACCATGCTGCAGAGTTGAAATGCAAAGGCTTCCAAATTAAGAAAATAAGACTAAGAAGGAGAGGAGAATAAGTGCAGATCCCATACACTCCTGCTGCTGCCCCTTACCCGTCTTGCCTGCGGCAGACCCCCACCTCCCCGTCTGGTTAATTCTGTTAATGGCTTGTCAAGGCTGAGTAGCTGTCTGTGAAACTGGGTCTCTCTTAGTTTAAAGGAAATGATATGGCCTACCAAATATGCACCCCAGGGTCTGAAAGTGATTTTATTTTCTGTAATTACCCAAGAATGCAGGCAAATGGGGAGGGCAGGACCTTGGGTCATTGTATTTGCAGTGTATGTGGAAGGAGTCAGAGTGTGGCAAGAGGCAGAACAGTTTAGAGACCGCAGCCCCACTGCTCCACGTAGCTTCTACGGGGAGAGTGACAGAGAGAAGGGAAAATGAAATGAAGAGAGAGAGAAATACCCTTCCAGTAGAAAAGTGTCTGCGCATATACTATGTACAGTGTTACAAGCAGAAATTGGCTAAGAAGGTCTCGGGACCACTTTCCTGGAGAAACAGTTGTCTAGTCGGGACAGGAACGCGGACGCTGAGGACATCATGTCACAGCCAGGGATTGTAAGGCAGTTGTCATCAGCGAAAAAAGGGTCCAGATCACGTTTGTGCTTGGCTGGTATTACCTAGTCAGTAAATCTGTGCTTCCCTGATGGTCATATTTGTTTTGCCAAATTACTGAGGTCTTTAATGAGCTAGGCAGAGTGCTATGGGTTAGACAGCAGATGGAGAAGACCCGTTCTGACCTCAGAGAGCTGGCCGTGGTGGGTGCAGGACAGCTGCAGAGGGGCAGGGGCCCATTCACAGTGAGCACAGGGTGCTGGGGGCTGACAGCCTCCGGGTCAGAGCCCTGGGGCCCAGAGGCTGACCCAGGCGGAGGCACTGCTGGGCTGGAGTAGTTCAGTGGGGCAGAGGTTGAGGATGGGCATGAAGGAGATAGAGGGGCAGACAGCACTACCCTGCAGAGGCAGACCCTTGAATGGGAGGTCACATGATAGCACTGTGCTCAGCAGCTCAGGGAAGCAGAGTCCTTGCAGAGTGTGAAGAGAAGGAACTGGTTGCACAAGTGATAGGGTGCAGGGGGCTGCTGAAGCCATCTGGAGATAAGCAGGGCAGGGAGACATCGCTGCTTGGGTACAGGAAGGAAGTCCTGTGACCCTGACCCAGGAGGCTGGGGACTGGGACCACTCACTGGTCCCAGAGTCACAAAGGCCATCCTGGGGAACCTGGAGCTGGGGAGGAGCCTCTAAGGCCCTGCCCAGCCGGGAGCTGGGGGACAGTGAGCTGGCTTCTCTCTGCCTCCTGCCCTCGAGTTCGCCTTAGCACCCCCGCCACAATCTCATGACATGGGAGCCTGAAATGCTGCAGGGGTCAGGACAGAGCCAGCAGAAGGGATGGGGGATGGGGGGTGCAGGCCCAGCCAGATGCTGTCTGTGGGCTGAGTCAATGACTCACCTGCCACAGAAGTAGATGCTGTTATGATTGATAAAGAGCCATTTACAAGAGGTTCTAAATGGCCACAGCCTGTGGGATTATGAATATTTTCATAAAGTACAACCACTGTGATGTTAGGATCTGAATGTTTTCGTAGAATTAAAAAAAAAAACAACTTTATATTAGAAGCCAATCCATTACATTGTTTTCAGCCATCTGGAGACACTGGAGAAAGTAAGGTGAACAACATTTGGGTTTTAGAAAGAGCATTTCAAAGTCATAGTGGCCCCTGTGGACTGTGGAAGGGCTTAGAGCAGCAGCCCTGCCCTCTTGGCTGTACCTCCCTGTGCACAGGCCTCTGGGTGCTTGCTGAATGCGGGCTCGAAGCAGTGAGCATGGCAGGGCACTGCGCCTGGGTGAAGGGGTTCCTCTGCCATAGCTGACGGGGAGCGAGTGGGTACACAGAGTGAAGGCAGGAGGGAGAGGTGAGGCAGGGTGAGTGGGTCAGAAACTGAGAACAAAACCAATATGCAGGGATGGCGAGACAGTGGGAGAGGGATGGAGAGACCAGGTGTCTCTCACATGTGAGCCTCAAGGAGGTGAGAAAGCCTGGAACACCTGCCTGCTCCTAGACTCAGTGGGGATGGCCTTCCTGAGGAGGACAGCGGTAGAAGAAGACTAGATGGGGACAGCGGGGGACGAGGAGGTCAGACTTCTGTATTTAGGCAGGGGCACAGATTTGGGCCTGTTTTCATGTGGTCCTGGTGCAGAATTCTGCTGTGTGCCACGTAGGGAATTTATTTCAGATCACCAAAAAAAAAAAAAAAGTCCATAATATGTGATCCCTTTGGGGCCAGCAGATGGCATAGTGGTTGTGTTGCTGGACTTCCACATGGCTGACTGTGGTTTGAGTCCTGGACCTCACACCTTGAAAGTCATGGCCAGCACTTGTGTGTGCATGCCCAAGATCTCAGGAGAGGGATTGAGGAGAAGGGGTTGTATCATGGCCATAACCTCTGGGGGGTGAATTCTCACTTTCCCTCTCATGGTTGCTGTCTCTCTCTCTCTCTCCCCAGTGAGCACATCATCCTATGGCAAAACAAAACAAAACACCCTTTTAATAAAATTTGAGACTGGGTGCCGGCAGGTGGCATGGTGGTTGAGGGTGCTGGACTCCTACATGGCTGACATGATTTGAGTCCCAGACCTGAGGCTTGCTTTCCCACTTTCTCTCTCTCTCTTTGTTTCTCTCTGGTCAAATAAATAAATAAAGTTAATAAAATAATTCTTAAAAATAATTTTGTTACTGTATATTTATTCATTTAAAATATCGAGATATTGAAAGAAGCCTTTTCTTATCTACTTCGAAATTAACTTGAAGAATTTATGGTAGTTGTAAAATAAAATAAATTGATACCATCTGGTAGCATTCATAGTGGAATGATGTCTTTACTACATTACCGTCATAGTATACATTTCAAAGACCCAACTTAATGAAGGGCCTGCTTTATTAAAATACTGTACTCTGGCGATTTTAGAGCTCAGAGAACAGGTGTTTTGAGCCCCTACCAGCTGAAGCCAGCCTGTTTGTGCTGTTTCTGGGCTTGCTCTGCTTCCCATGTTTCATGTGTGTTCTTCCTGTTCTTCCCATTGTTGTAGCTTCCGGGTTCGGTGCAGGCCGGCGCGACCCTGTGGACATGGGCCCGGCAGGCACTGGGACTCAGGAGAACCAGACAGTGCAGGAGATGAAGGCAGAGCAGCCCAAGCCGGGGCAGGCCATTGCCCGGGGAGCACTAGGCCCCGAGCCCGAGCCAGAGCTGATCGACAGCACCAGGCTGGTGGAGGTGAGGGTGGCCCTGATCTTGGCCTACTGCTCCATCATCTTGCTGGGGGTCGTTGGCAACTCACTAGTCATCTACGTGGTGATTCGGTTCAAGAGCATGCGCACGGTGACCAACTTCTTCATCGCCAACCTGGCCCTGGCTGACCTCCTGGTAAGCACTCTGTGCCTGCCGTTCACTCTGGTCTACACCCTCATGGGGGAGTGGAGAATGGGCGCTGTTCTCTGCCACCTGGTGCCCTATGCCCAGGGTCTGGCGGTCCAAGTGTCCACCATCACCCTGACGGTGATTGCTCTGGACCGGCGCCGGTGCATTGTTTACCACCTGGAGAGCAGGATCTCTAAGCGGGCCAGCCTCCTCCTCATCGGCCTGGCCTGGGGCACCAGCGCCCTGCTAGCCAGCCCACTGGCCATCTTCCGGGAGTACTCGCTGGTCGAGATTGTGCCTGACCTGGAGATTGCGGCCTGCACTGAGAAGTGGCCCGGGGAGGGGAGGCATGCCTACAGCACAGTCTACAGCCTCTGCTCCTTGCTGGTCCTGTACGTGCTGCCCCTGGGCCTCATCTCCGTCTCCTATGTGCAGATCTGGGCTCGGCTGAGACGCAGCTCCGGCCCCGGGGCGACGGGTGACCGGCACCGGCGGAGGCGGAGAGCAACACAGATGCTGGCGAGCGTGGTGGCTGTGTTTGCAGTCTGCTGGCTGCCGCTGCACGCTTTCCAGCTGGCTGTGGACATCGACAGCCAGGTCCTGCACCTGCGGGAGTACAAGCTGGTCTTCACTGTGCTGCATGTGGTCGCCATGTGCCCGACCTTCGCCAACCCGCTGCTCTATGGCTGGATGAACAGTAACTACCGGAGGGCCTTCCTCGCTGCCTTCCACTGCGCGCCAAGGCTGGACACCTGCTCTGAGGTGTCTGTTACGCTCAGGGCCACAAAGAACCTGCAGGTCAGGAAGAGCGACGGCCCTCATGGCTCCTTTTCAGAGGCGGCCAACGTCTGAGGACCAAACTGTGGAGTGGACAGACTGGTCTGTGAAGGCGCAGGTGCCCTGATTCCTGGGAGCATTGAGGAAGAGGGAGAGTCTGTTGGAAGTATCTGCAGGCTGGTTCTGGAAAACCAGCTGCAGAGTCAGGGGAAACGCATTTCAAAACCAGGTGGTGGGTGGTCTGCTGACAGTGGCTTGGATGGCAGGTTGAACTGCGGATGAAAGCAGAGAGAATGCTTTCTGCCCCCCAGAGAGAAGGAACCTCATAGCTTCAATGTCATGGTATTATCAAGGGCCAGAGGCACACCTGGACTTCAAGTCACATGGGACCTGCAGAGGCAGGGTGACCTGCTGCTCCTGCCTGTCAGCTGAGCACAATGCTCCTTCACTGTAGTTAGGGGTGCGGTTCTTCTTACAGAGGAAATCCATCAGGGAAGTCAGAGCGAGACACTGGCACTTTGTGAATGACTAGGAGATGAAGTGAAATTTGCTATATAGTTAAGATGTTGGCAAATAATGAGGAAAATCCTTAACATTCAGTGAGCCACACATTCCTAAAACTAAATGCACATTTGGTGAAAGTTTCTTAAATAGAGAATCAAAGACTGAAATTCTCAGAATTACAAGAAATGTGAGTTGTCATGTAGTTTCTCATTTCAAGGTATTCCTGCTTTCTGTAAATGCTCTCTACACAAGTGAGCACACAGTGATACTCTCAGCCCTTGCTAATGCTTCTAACTTTTGAACATGTCTGATTTCTGTTATAATGCTTCTGTTGCAGCTGGCTTTGTCTGGTGAAAGTTAAACTGGAGTAAGATATAATTCTGTGGCATTTTGTCACATTTCATGGTTTATTGTAAGCAAATTTTACAAGATGCATAGTATTTAGGGAATATTGCAGGGTTATTTTCTTTGAAACTATTTTCCATGGGCCCATTTATGCTACATAAAAAAATATAATTTCACTAAAATGAACCCATCTGGGAAGAAATATTTTAAAAAATTTGATCCATTCCACATTGCAAATGTTCTGTTTCAATGAATTTCACATAAGTTTTTCACCCCTTTTTCAAAATAATTAGCTATATTTTTTGGATAAATTATGATTCTGTACATAATAAAATTGTACCTATAAATAGTGGAACATAGATGCTATAATGCTTTTCATTTAATGATTTTATGAACATAAACTTTCATTTGAATAGTACCAACCAAAGATGCTGAAAATGCCCATATGTTCAAAACATAGGGAAACGGTTGTCCTTCTTTGGATGCTATTAAGTCTCACTGTGGTAGTGTTTTGTAAATATGATGCAACTTGTGAATATATTCCTTAATTTTAAATGAATTTAATGTGAATGCTGTGTTTAGTTATGCTAATTTTGTGTAAGCTCCTTTTTAGAGATAGTTCAAATTCATGTCACAACCCCTACAGAATTGCATCTTTCTTTAGCAGTGGTCCAAGCTGTGGTGTCCTCCCTGTGTCCCTGCTCCTCTCACCTGGTTAGTGCAGTCGCTTCCTGGTCAGCCACCCTTCTTTCTCTTCCCATACAGTCCAACTTTAATCCACTAGCCAGAGGGACTTGTCTTTTTTCTTTCTTTTATTTTCTGGATGAACTCAAATATTTTTATAGCATGGGAGACTGTACTATCTAGCCGTCTCTCTCTCTCTCTCATGCCAGGCAAATCTCTTCTCTGCCCATCTTTGCTGCTGGAGTTTCAGCATTGTGAAGGCAGGAGGCAGGGACTGTCCCATTGCTGTGGTGTCACAGGGACTGGAATCCTACCCACTTGGTACTCAGAAAACGGCCACCAAGGAAACTGGACTTGTGAAGTGGATTAATATTGAAGCCAAGGTTTCAAGATAGATCTGAGGATGATCAGTCACAACCCTTCTCATTTTACCATATACATCTTCTAGGAAAGTCAGGTTTCAGTTACCCAGGAGCGCAGCGAAGATGCGTGTTTGTTCAAGGCCAGGTCCGCTTCGCTTTGCCTTTGGAAGCCATTGAAGGTAAACAAGTACCTGCATGACTCCCAATACACACACCTCAAGTATGTCTCAGTCAGAATTACCTAGAATCTAGTCATCATGGAGAAGTGAGTGTACCAGCTGTGACTCGGCAGCTGCAAAAGCCCTTTGGGTGTTTCTAGAAGAGTCATTTGAGATGAGGAACTGATATCTGACAAAACGCCTGGAGAAGCAAAGGTTAGAACAAACGTCCACTGGCATTGAGGACACCAGACAGTTGTGGAGAGCAGCCAATCTGAAAACACGTGATTAAAACATGTGGCCTGAAGACGCATGCAAATATGCGCTTCCATAAGCTACTCTAGCAGGGCTATTGAGAAGCAGTACCTGCCTGTTGTCAATGGCTGTCTTCCTGCTCTTCTTAAAACTCAATACCTCGATACTGCCCAGTATCAGGCTAAAGGAAGTCACAAGCCTTTTTCAGATTATTCCCCCAAAAGGATCAGTGAAATTATCTGGTGCCAGTCATCTTCACATCTTCAGTCGATTTACATCCAAAAACACTGGCTTTGCATCCCAATCTCACCTCCCTTATTCTCTGTGCATTCCACTTCCTTCTTCTCCATTCCTTTTACATCCCATTTTCCCCTTCCCCCATTTTCTGCCCTTTAAAAGAATAAACCTGAGGCTGGTTATGATCGCAATTTCTCCATCAGAGAAGCTGTGCCCACCTCATCCTCGCTTTTCTATACTGGTGTGTCTTTGTGTGTTTTGTTATTGTGTCTATTTCTAATCTGCAGCCTTCCCCACTCAGAGAAATGTGTTCATGCTGACCTGGCCTCAGCAGACAGTAAAAGTTCAGGCAGTCTCTACAAATGCTGGCAGAACCGAAGTGGACAACACTGGGAAAAGCACAGGTGTGTCTGCCGGCACCTCCCTGCGCCCTGCTCCCCACACTCCTGCAGGCACCTCCCTGTGCCCTGCTTCCCCCACCGCAGGTGTGGGTATGCCTGTGGCTTCTCTTCTGCTCCCAGACTTCATGCTAGTGCCCTTGAAATGTGGACCATCCCTTGAGCCTTGCTGGTAGGGATCTGGGGACGTGTCGTCTTTAGGCTTCCAGACCCTAAGGTCCAGGCCCAGCAGAGGAGGGCGTCCACAGTGCTTAGATGCTATCAGAAATCCATGAAGGACCACCCAAAAGGTGTGATCGCTCATTTCAGCCTCTGATAGAAGTTGATTGTATCTTTTCCCTCCTTCCCCTTACCAAGGTCACTGTGTCAAAAATGGTCCCTAAAACTGCCCCGAGAGTGCAGCTGTATTGAGGAGCACGGTAAACAAGAAGGCCATTTCCCCATGGTGGACTGTTTGGAACATAGCGGAAAGGATGAAACCATAACATTATACCAAGATACGAATACAGACCTAAGAATGACAGGACAGGAGAAGTAACTCCTGGTGTCGCTTGCTAGGGTGAGTGATGAGGTCTCAGGGAGAAAACAGTGTTTACAAACTTCAAGCTGATGAGAACAAATATTAATATATGTGGCAGCAAAAGGCAAAATCTTTATTTATTTAACAAAACAAAGGGACCAGCAGGTGGCATAGTGATTAAGGCAGATGGATCCCACATGGCAGATGGCCTGGTTCCAATTCCAGACACAGAGGCGCATGTGGGCCCCTGCCGTAATTGTAGCCCTCCCCTCTGGGGGTGCTTCCTCTCTCTCTCTCTCTCTCTCTCTCTCTCTCTCTCTCTCGGGCATGCATGTATGCCCTATAGCAAAAACTTAAAAAGAAGAAAAAAGATAACGTAACTTAGAGACACAGCAGAAAGGTAGTAGAGAATGCGGAGAACCTCTGATTGTCTCTCACAGAGCTAAACAAAGGTAGGAATTTATTAAATAAAGGGCGACTAAAGGTTGACTGTGGGGACATATAAATGGCAGCTGTCTGCTAGACGTGTGGCCTTGCATGCTGGTCACTGTCCACAGGCTGCCCAGGTCCCCTCGATGTGGAAGGCCCCACATGGAACACACGGCCCTCGACACACATGTAGCTGTGATGCACCTTTGTCTGATCGGGCGGCTGTCAGCTGGCCTGTAAACAGCAATGGAGATTCTAACAGTCCTGGGGGCTGAGAAGTTCTGGGCCAAGACCCCGCCAGCCCAGGGCCTGCTCGGCTGTTCCCTGTGGAAGCACCTCACATGCCCTCCCCCAGATGTGGGGGCAGACAAGCTCCCTGGGCCTCTTCTAGGCACGAAACCCGACCAGGAATGCTCATCTTCATGACTAAGCATCCTCCACAGGATTTCGTCTCTTGCTACCATCTCTGTGGGGGCTACAGATTTGGGGAACACACACGGATTCAGAACTTGGAACATATTTTGAAATTAATGTTGGGCTCTTCCCTATGAAGCATTAAAAGTTGAGAATTTCAGTGTCTGTGCTCAAGGAACAGTTCAGCCCAACTTCTGTGTGCTGAGTTTATTGTTAATATTTTAGAAGTATTTAATCATCTAATTACATGAGGCATGCTGGTATGTAAAATTCTTTTAATATTTTTCTTTTTCAATTTCATTTCAATGGCATTTAAACCTGACTGCTCCTGAGAAGTGCTTGAAATCTTTGAAAAAGTACTATGCTTTGCTCCTTTCAAAACTAGGTATGTCCGAATCATGTAGGGCCAGGAACTGGTATACTGCCTGCCTTGCAGTAGGTCAGAGGTGCACCTGTGGTTGAGATGCACTGCTTTACATGTTCTAAATGTTCAAGATTGTAAAGTCAGACCTCGAGCTCTAAATGTGCCCCTAAGAATCTCAAATAGGGAGCAGTAAATGGTGCAGTGGTTACATCACTGGACTCCCGAATGGCTGACTGCAGTTTGAGTCCCAAAAATGGAGGCTTGAATACCATGCTGAGTGTGTGTGCATGCCCAAGATTCCAGGAGAAGAATGGAGAAGAAGGGGTTGTGGCATAGCCATTCTCCCACAGGGTGATTTTTCACTTTTCCTCTCACTGTCTCTGTCTCTCTCTCTCTCCAGTAAGCACACAAGCCCTTAGGCAAAAAAAATAAATAAATAAAAAATGAAAAAAAAGAAGCGAGGGACCAGTATAATGGCTATGTTGCTGGACTCCCATGTAGTCGACTGTGGTTTGAATCCTGGACCCGGTGGCTTAACCTCATGCCGGGCATGTGTGTGTGCATGCCCAAGATCCCGAGAGGAGAATGGAGGAGAAGGGATTGCAGTGTGGCCATCCGCCCTGGGGGATGATTTCTCGCTTTCTATCTCTCCATCTTTCTGGCGAACGCACGCATCCTATAGCAAAAACCTCTCAAAAAAAATCATAAATACATTTTTTTCTATAGGGCACATGCACTCACCAGAGAGATAAAGAGAAAGTGAGAAATCACCACCCAGGAGGGATGGCCACATGGCAATCCCTTCTCCTCCATTCTACTCTCAGGATCTTGGCCATGCACACGCACATGCCCAGTG